CCCCCCCCCCCCGCGTTTCCCTCCTCCCCCCGTATTTCTCCCCTGCTTCCGCTCTCTCCTTCTCCTCACCTCGCCGCTCGCTGCTAAACCCCCCCAGCGCGAGCGAGCCAGCCAAGAATTCCTCCTTCCGCGCGGACCGATCCACCCATCCATCCATCCAGTCTCTCCCCCAACAAACCCTAGTCCGACCAGGGGGGGCAGGAGAGCGCGGTGTGTGCTTGTGCGAACATGGCGGTGGCGAAGTGGGAGCGCGCCAAGCGCGCGCTTGCCACCAGGCTCTGCGTCCGCGCGCCGAGGGTGCGGGCGGCGGCGGCGGAGGCGGAGGGGGAGGGGGAGGAGGGGGAAGGGAGGGGGAGGTCGGTGGCCGCCTCGCCGCCCGCGCATGTGGCCTCCTCGCGGCGGCTGTCGAGGTGCGGGAGCAGGAGCTCCACGGTGAGATCGATCGCCTTGCCCAGTTTATCCAGCTCTCCCCACTCTCGTGTGATCCTCTCGATGATTTTGATAGGGATTTATCGGTTTTTATTTTTTTTAAAAAAATCTCGTGAGAAGTAAAACTGCTCTTGTTTAAAACCGAGATGAGTTATGTTGAAATCTGATAGTGGTTCTAGGACACACATGAAGAAAGTTGATACGATATTTTATTCGAATGATTCATGATATGATTTTGATAGGGATTTATCGGTTTTTATTTTTTTAATCTCGTGAGAAGTAAAACTGCTCTTGTTTAAAACCGAGATGTTTGAAATCTGATAGTAGTTCTAGGACACGCCTGAAGAAAGTTGATACGATATTTTTGTTCGAATGATTCATGATCAAGAGGGCTGCATCCGTTTAGATTAGCATAACTTTGTAGGGTTTAGGTAAGGTAAACACGGCACTTTAATCAGTGTTCGCTAGTTCTTTTTGTTCCCCGCACGTAAGCGGGGATTTTAATCATATCTGCAATTTGGAATCATTGTGAAACTTAGTCAGATTTCTTTTTGTAAAGGGATATCCATCTTATGCTGATATATGCCTTTTGTCACAAAAAGAAAAACTGCAGTGATCCTGAAGGCCAAACTTTTGCCTGATCTTTTTTTAAAAAAGAATAGTGCTACGTCCTATCTGGATTTTCAGGTTAATCTTCGCGTGAAAACAATGGTTTTTGGGTGGGGAGATTTTTTTTAGAGAGTTGGTTTGTTTACATGAGGAACTATGATGGTGAATTGTAGTGGTGAAGGAGAAGGATGACTTCCAAAGTAGTAGAGATGATGCCGAATACAATTGTTGTTCTGCATTATTTTGCTCCCTTTGCCATCTTTCACCGAAATCAACAGATCCTTTGTTTCATTATGATACCCAAGCTTGTGCTACTTGTGTTTCATCTGAGACAGGGTTTTTGTCGGGGTACCTGATTTCGTTGATCGTCTTGTAGATCAACACCATATCATGCCAACGATGTTAAACTGTGCCAAAAACCTGGAGAAAACGTCGTTGCTACTTAACATCGTACTACCATGCAATACCTTTCTGCTTTGATTGGTACATTGCCATCTAAAAGAATTAGTTGTTTTTACTTCTAGGGAATTCTGCTTGCCCGGTTGCTTGCATGGACCTTTTCTCTGTATTTTTTTGGTCTTTGGGTTGATTCTTGCATTTGAATTTCTTGCGCGTGTTTAATACTTTTATGTTTGTTTTTTTTATTTTTTTATCCATTGAAATTATCATGAATGTAGCGCGTTGTGTGCTAGTAAGCAACCGGAGAAGTATGCAATAGTTTCTTAATTATTTAGGACTAGAAAAGGACGAAAATTTTGATTGCTTGTTCTGTTGTATAATTATGTGTGCAATTCCGAGGAAGGGCAGGACACCTCTCTTGTTCACCAACTCTCTCCTCATCTTTTGAAGCCTACTGTTTTCTTTCCCTTTCCAGCCCATGTTTTTTCTTTGATCAGTTGGGTGATGCCATGTACGAGATAAGGCTTACAGAAACCTTTTTTTTTTAGGAAATTCAGCTCTTGACATCACTCTGATGAGCAAAACACTGGATCGTTTTAACAAACAAATATTCCCAAGTAGTAGTATGTGATGAGGTAGCCTGTTATATTTATCATATAACATGTTGTCCTAATATTCCAATGGAGCTTCTAAAATATACTTGAAATAAAATGACATTTGGTCAACATAGTTTACTGGATAAGATTTACCTCAGCAATTGGCAATTAAATCAATCCACTTCATGATTTCACATGCACGAATGTCATCTCTAATTATGTGCCTTATCATGCTATAGTTAAAATTGATCTGCAAAGCATCTTGGTTGGTTTGACTTAGATATCAACATTGATCTAAAGACAGGGAGAGGATCAGAGGGGGAGACCAGCATCCTTTTCTGGTTATCAATAATTGGTCAAGTGATCCTCTGCTGCAAACAGCATGTATTTGAGAATATGTGGATGCTTCTTGAAAGATTGGCCCATATGGTATAATTCAGAGTATATGTGCTCTGCCCCATATACTGTGTGCTTCATACTTTTCCAGAAAGGGGTGAGCTGAATAATGAAAGGATAGACACACAGATAGCTGACATCAATGTCATCGATTGATGTGCTTTTGTAATGTTTTACTAGCTGCATCTAATTCGATTTCGTGTCTTCTATCAGCATCTGGATAATATCAGGGTCCGGCTGCATGAGTTGACTATTTTGCTTGATGTTTAATTAATAATAGTAGTAGTTTACGACTTACAGTCTGCCTTGTATACTTGGATTGCATGACTTGGACTGGACATTAGCCTCTTGTGCTGATGCTGATGACAGTTGACATTGTTGATACTACTATAGTTTTCTCTAAGACTCACTAGGAGCATACAATTTGGCTATTATTTAGGCTCCCTTCCCTCTTTTCAGTCATTGCTAATATCTGATGCTCTTGAAAACAACTCATTCCTTCATTTTGTAATGTGAAATAAGTACAGTTCATTCTAGGGAACAAAGCTTTACATGTTAGCATGAATCTGGATCATATTTTTTATTTAACTTCAATTGGTGTTTTTTTTTCAAAGAAACTCCACTCTGCCGATTGCTATATCGATCTGCAGTTACTAACTATCTTCTGTTGCTTTTCTTGGTTACTTTTTTCAGAAGATATGTGCCATTTGCCTCGGAGGAATGTGTTCAGGCAATGGCCAAGCCTTGTTCACCGCGGAATGCTCCCACAAGTTCCACTTCCACTGCATCTCCTCCAGCGTTCGCCACGGCAACACCGTCTGCCCGATTTGCCGCGCCGTGTGGAAGGAGCTGCCGTTCCAGGGCCCTCTCCCTGCAGCAGCAGCAGCAGATGCTAGTCTTCTTGGAACAGCTCGAGTGAACCCTCACCCACTGGATGACAGGCATCAGCATCAGCGAATGGCCGTTGTCCGCAGGCTGTCTCGCGGAGACAGCGTGACCCGGCAATGGCAGCTCCCGATCTTTCGTACGCTGGATGGCGGCATTTTCGATGACGATGAACAGTTGGATCTTCATCCTGCTGAAGATGTGGTTGGAACTCAGGATGTTGATTCGATCGTCGCTGATGAAATGGCGCCTGCTTCTGTTGGGATCACGACGTACGCTGCGTTCCCGGCGATGGAGGAGTCTGTGATGGTTGAGGAGTTTGCGGTGTTGATCCACCTGAAGGCTCCGTCTTCTCCGGCGACGGTGACCTCCCGCGCGCCCATCGACCTCGTCACCGTGCTCGACGTGAGCTGGAGCATGGCCGGGACGAAGCTGGCGCTGCTGAAGCGCGCCATGAGCTTCGTGATCCAGGCGCTCGGCCCCGGCGACCGGCTGTCCGTCGTCACGTTCTCGTCGTCGGCGAGGAGGCTGTTCCCGCTGAGGAAGATGACGGAGTCCGGGCGGCAGCGCGCGTTGCAGAGGGTGAGCTCGCTCGTCGCCGACGGCGGCACCAACATCGCCGACGCGCTGAGGAAGGCGGCGAGGGTGATGGAGGACAGGAGGGAGAGGAACCCCGTGTGCAGCATCGTCCTCCTCTCCGACGGCCGGGACACCTACACCGTCCCGGTGCCGCGCGGCGGCGGCGGCGGCGGCGACCAGCCGGACTACGCCGTGCTCGTCCCGAGCTCGCTCCTTCCCGGTGGCGGGTCGGCGCGCCACGTGCAGGTCCACGCCTTCGGCTTCGGCGCCGACCACGACTCGCCGGCGATGCACTCCATCGCTGAGATGTCCGGCGGCACGTTCTCGTTCATCGACGCGGCGGGCTCGATCCAGGACGCGTTCGCCCAGTGCATCGGCGGCCTACTCAGCGTGGTGGCGCAGGAGCTGCGGCTGAGCGTCGAGTGCGGCGACGACGGCGTGCTGCTGACCTCCGTCAGGTCGGGCGGCTACGCGAGCCACGTGGACGGCGACGGCCGCGGCGGCTTCGTCGACGTCGGCGACCTCTACGCCGACGAGGAGAGGGACTTCCTCGTCACCGTGCGCGTCCCGGCGGCGCGCGGGGTGTCCGCCCTGATCACGCCGAGCTGCACCTACCGGAGCACGGCCACCATGGAGACCGTCCGCGTCGGGGGCGACACGGTGACCGTCCCTCGCACGGTGGACGCCCCCGTGGGCTACGACGGCATGTCGCCGGAGGTCGAGCGGGAGCTGCATCGCGTCCAGGCCACGGAGGACATGGCCGCCGCGCGCGCCGCCGCGGAGCGGGGCGACTTCGAGCTGGCCGCCGCCATCCTCGACGAGCGCCGCGGCGTGCTCGAGTCGCGGGCGGACGACGACCCGCAGTCCGTGGCGCTGGCGGCGGAGCTGAGGGAGATGCAGGACAGGGTGGAGACGCGGCAGCGGTACGAGGAGTCCGGCCGCGCCTACATGCTCGCCGGCCTGAGCTCCCACTCGTGGCAGCGCGCCACGGCGCGCGGCGACTCGACGGAGCTCACCAGCGTCATCCATACCTACCAGACGCCCTTCATGGTCGACATGCTGCAGCGCTCGCAGACGCTCCAGCCGGAGGTCGTCGTGGCGATGAGCCGCTCGGCGCCGCTACCGGCGCCGTCCCTGTCGCTGTCGCCGCCGCCGCCGCCGTCGCAGCTGCGGCGCCGCTCGGTGAGGCCGGCCATGTCGTTCCCCGGGCGGCGTTCGTGATGTTCGCGCGCGCCATGGCAACGCCGAATGCAGTAGCTAATAATAACTTGTGAAGCAGAAGCTAGCTTAGCTAGTACTAGGTGGGAGAGAACCATATGGAAGCCATTGTTTCGTTCGTTTCATGTATCTTTCTCGTTCGTTGCAGTGAGGTTTTTTTCAGTTTACCGACCGTTGGGTCAGTCTTATACCGAGGGTCACATGACATCAGGACATGGTTTGGTTGGTGCAGAGGATGGTTGTCAAATGGTGATCAAACTTTTGTTAGGAAGTTTTTCTTAGGGCTATGATATCCTTCTAACATTGGCATGGACGCGTGGTTATTGCCTACCACATGATCATTAAGGTGCTGTACGTTCTAAAATAAAAGAACGTGATAGCATATGATCAGAAAAATATATCGATTATAAGGGAAAAAAAATATACAATCATATATCTAATCTAATGGAAGTAAGTTATAGTGTAAATAAAGAAATAATCTAGCTAGGCAAATCAAAGCGAGATGAGCTCGGAGAGAGATTCTAATCACTTTGAGTGTATGTCCACGCTAATTTATAAAAAAATACATTTTTTAAAAGAATTATAAGATAAATCCTAACCCTAAATTAATATGTATTTTTTGAGGAAAATATATATTAATATGTATTTTTTTAGTATTTCTATAGTCGTAGTGATGGTTCTGCCACCACCGCCACCACTTTCATGTGGGCCCATGATGTCAATGTTCACTCTATAAATCAAATACAATAATATAGATACACTAAAATACAATATGGATAATTTATATCAATTGTTACTCTCTACGATCAATTGAGTAGCTCAACGTACAGGAGGAATCTACCCATCGGACGTCCAATGCCCCAAAAAATATCGGACGGTCAAATGTTGCAGTTAACCAACAAGTGAAACATTAAACGTCCGATGGGTAGGAGGAATCTACCCATCGGACGTCCAATGCCCCAAAAAATATCGGACGGTCAAATGTTGCAGTTAACCAACAAGTGAAACATTAAGTTATATATGGTGAAACAAAAAACTAGCAACTGAAACATTTGAATATTTTATGAAACATGGTGAAGATACACGTTAAAACATGTCGCTGTCACATATGAAACAACAAGTATTAACGGATTAAAACATACGCTATTTTTTTATCAAAATATAATCAAGCCATATCTTGTTAAAATGAATACAACGATGGGATCGGATCGTAGATTGGATAATTAGTTTAGGAGAAAAAGTATTTTGAAACTTGTTAAAATGCATGCATGCATGTATGGATGAGGTGGAGAGAGAGTAGTGCAGTTAGTTTTGGAAATTTTGCGAAACATGTTGAATACACACATTGAAACATATCGCTATTACGTATGAAACAAAGAATGTTAACAGATTGAAACATATAATTATTTTTTATTATAATATAATCATGTGACATTTTGTTGTGAAGATTTCATTACAACGAATACAATGGTGTGATCGAATTGTAGATTGGATAAGTAATTTAGGAGAAAAATCGTTTTGAATATTATGAAATGTATGCATGCAAGCATGGAGTGGAGAGAGAAGAGAGAGAGTAGCAATAGGTATGCAGTAGCAAGTCACTGGCAAAGGTGGCATGCATCGCATGTGCTGATGTGCGGTCACAAATGTCAGAGCAAGGCAGTCAAGAGCTGTCCGATTTTTATGTTTGGATTGGACGACCGATTAGAAGCATACCAAATATGAATATATGATATGATGATTAGAGGTTGGGATTTTTTTTCTTTTTGGGCTTTATTGTAAATCCCATTGGAACGCATGGGTATTTAGGGCCTGTTCACTTTGATGCCATTTTTAACCTTACCAAATTTTGGTAAAGTTGCCAAAAAATAACTACATTTAGTTTGCTGCCAAATTTTGGTAACTATATAAGAAATACTACCAAAATTTTGGCAAGTGGTAAGGTTTTTTTTAGCATCAAAGTGAACAGGCCCTTAGCTAGTCACTTAAGAATGATAGAATGTAATTTTGAGTAAAAAACTTTCAAATGTAAGTATAGAATAACTAAAGTATAATTATATTGTAACTATATTATGGGCCTATTTGGGGAGCTTAAAATTTTAAGAAGCAGCTAGTTGGTAACCAATTTCTGAGAATTTGGAAAAATTGAGTTTCCCAGCTTTTGGCTTCTAGTTTATTTTCTAGCTATAACTACAGCTTCTCAGAATCTGAACCAAAAGCTAAACTGTTAGGGGAGCTTCTGATTCTAGGAGAAGCTACAGCGGCTAGAAGCTCCCCCAAACATGCCCTATAGTTGCACTATAACTACGATATAACTTATATTCGACTATGGTTTGATTGGCTAGCACCGGGATCTTACGCTTATATGTGTAAAAATTTCTTTGTAGCAATTTTTTCCTTCATGCATAAATCTTGAGATGATTCGATGGCCACAAATCTGGAAGTTTTGGGAGAAAAAACTTGCAAAAGTTTCTAGCAATTCCATTCTTTAACCAAAAAAACAACCATTTGAATTCATAGTCAAATTTATTTTTTATAATTTGTTGAATTCGAATTTAAAATTAGATTATGGAGTGATATATAATACTAACCCATCTTATTAATTATTTAAATTTATTAGAACTATTTAATTGACTCTGCATGCCAGGTGTTGGGCCTCATCGTCGGCCGCTTAGTATCACACGGCCAGGCCCGCCTCCGCGCATCGCGTGAGGCCCACTTCTCGAGCTGCTCGATCGCGATTTTTTTTCATTTTTAATTTTTTTTAATATTTACAGAAATAGACCCGCCCAAGTGAAGAGCAACAAGGTGACGTGGCAGTGCGGCACACGGCGCCGTGTGCGTATTTTGCATTGAGGTCCCTTGTCGAAACGCAATTTTCATCGCATGCAAAATTCGTATGCCCGCTCAGCGGCCGTTAGTGGCTGCAGGGTTTACTTATGTAAATATTTTTATCGGAATAATATTTTTATAAATATTAAAAAAATAAAAAGTTTAAAAAAAATCCCCGATCGCCGCCTCTGCGGGTCGGATTCGAGCCCGTCTCTCTCCGGGTCGCTCCCCATCCCCACTCCCACGTCTCCCACCCACTCACCGTTTCCACCCGAATCATTCCGTCCCAAGTCCCACCGTCCCCTCGGCTTATCCCCCCTCCTCCCCGGCCTCCCTCCGCCAAGGCCGCCGGAGCCCGTCGCCGGAGGCAGCTGCAGGGAAGGACGCCGTCGCCGGACACATGCGGGGTAAGCCGCAGCCCTCCTGAACCTCACCTCCACCGTGGTCGCTTCGCTCGTCCGGTCCTCCCCTCCGCCAGGCGCGCCCGGGGGGTGGGGCGTACATCGCCGTTGATGCCTTCCCCGAGCAGCGGGGTTGGTTCGCGTGCGTTGGCGGGTGCGTGCTCGGTAGCTACGGGAACGAGAGAGGCGGGTGGGGGGGATTGGATTAGATTGCGGGATCGCCCTTGTTGCTCAGACGTATAGAGTCGCCTCACCTCTGCGCGGTAGCTGTTCGGTGAAATGCCCTAGTGTGGTGGGGTTGAGCCGGGCGCCCCAAGCGGGCGAATTTGGCTTCATGCCAAGTCTGAGGCTGTCTCGCAGCAATCTGTTGCTGCTGGTTGCGGACGGTTCAGCTCACCTTGGTAGCATGGGCTGGAGGGTTATTGTGCGTCATGCCAGTATTTTGCCTTTGCCATCTTGTAGAATTCAGTCTAGTGCTGATGACATGGCCTCATCATTTAGTTCGTAACCTTAATTAGTATAAACCGAGTGAACTTATGTGACCAGTTGAGGACAGCCAAAGGAGCAATTTTAAACACAATCTCAGCTTGAAACAAAGTTCCAATTTTACAACAAAATAGCAAGCCCGCGTATATGGAAATATGAAGCATTTAATTGTTCCAATTGTTTCATGATCACCCTAAACATTGCTTAATATGTATGTATACTGATTGCCTGTGAACAGTACTCATTTTCCATCAAAGCTTGAAAACCTTGCTTTTAATTCTGATTTCTTACTAATTTAGTTATAAGAACATGTTATAAAATCTGTTTAAACCTATAAATAATTGGAAATATGATAATCCATTCTTAAACACATTACTGGACTCACCTTTTATGTTAAAGCAGCATAATTACTTACATGGCTACCATATGAGCTACTTAACATCAATTTTCTTCTATGGGTACATCTCATTATCAATGTCATGTTGGCCTGAATATTTTGGCATTTTGTCAGGTTGGGCTTCCCAGATAGCTTGTCTCTTGCTGCACTAAGCTCTTCCAATTTTTAAAAATGGCAGCTCCCAAGCCCATTGCTCGGCTTATTTCCCATGTCATTCTTGATTTAGATGGTACCCTCTTAAACACAGGTGATTAAAATGTTGTAAATTTGCTTGCATTTGTCATTAACCTTTGCTTGGTTCAGTTATCTCAAATTCATATTTTCTTATCTTGTTTTAACCATTTGGCAGACTGTGTTGTAAGTCAAGTGCTGAAACCATTTCTAGTCAAAAATGGGAAAAAGTGGGACAGCAAGAAAGCTCATAAATTAGTTGGAAAGACACCTTATGAGGCAGCAGCTGTTGTTTTAGAAGATTATGGACTCCCTTACTCAACAGAAGAATTTCTCTCAATGCTTACTCCAATGTTCAATGAGCAGTACTGTTGCTGAAACTTCTTAACACTCATATAACTTGCATTTTGTAAATTGCATACTGCCGTGCTACCTCAATGGAGAATCTTTGTACATTTCTCTTTGGATATTTTAAATTACTGACATGTGTCCTTTATAGACCACTTCTCAACAGTATCCCCCAAAATGTTGCCTCGAGAAATCTTAAATCATCTCTTCCTTTGGTGCACCTAAATCACCTATGTTTGCATCTGCACATAATATGCATCGACACGCCATGCTCTGATGAATTTGGTGCCAAATGATTCATGGAAATAATAGTAATATAAAATGTCACCAGTAGGTTGGCCTTACACATTCCTCTATAGTTTATTAGCATGGATTCCAATTTTTCTACCTTACTCTATGAACAAGCATCTAGTTGTTATGGAACCATGTCAAAATGTCAATGCCAAGTAGGAAGTATGTCTGTTTTTTTGTATAGCATTTGTTTGAAATAATGAAATGCAAGTTTCACTTTGTAAGTCACTGTGTAAGAAACTACGTATGCTGTCACTAAATAGCCGGATTTCTTATAATATCTGGTTTGTTAAGCTCCTTCGATTCAAGTTGAACATGAAACTGAACTTCCGTATGGTGCAGAGAAGTACTTTATATAAATGGAGAAGAATTGTTCAATGTGTAACATAGTAAAGCCCTTTATGCAGATTTTATTTTAAACTGAAGTTTTGGAAAGATTGTATTGTTCAAAAGATAAAATTTTCATGTTGTAATGTGCAAAGAAGATTGTATAGAAAAAGGGAAAAAATATCGTGTTCTCATAATGAATTTCATATTGCAGATGGTGCAACATAAAAGCTCTTCCTGGAGCTAATCGGTTGATAAAACATTTGAAGAGTAATGGAGTACCAGCTGCTTTGGCTTCCAACTCACCAAGATCAAACATTGACGCAAAAATTTCCTGCCATCAAGGTAACCCTCTCATACTTTAGGGTAAAATTTTTTCCTGAATTTGCATGCTATTTTCTTTGATTTTGTGGACAGATATATCATATATTAATTACTGTATTCTCACCATGTTTAGGATGGAAAGAGTCGTTCTCCGCAATTGTTGGTGGTGATGAAGTAGAGAAGGGGAAGCCATCCCCAGATATGTAAGGCTGTGTGCTATGTAGCATTTTCGTTACTGGTACTTTATGGATCTTTTGAACTCATCTCATATCATTTCCTTTGCTTTGATCTGCTTTTGTTCCGACATTCCTTAAAACTGCTGGGGTGTTGATATTCAAGATTTTTGGAAGCTGCAAAACGAATGAATACAAATCCTCCAAATTGCTTAGTAATCGAGGACTCCTTGTAAGTTTTTTTCCTGTTATGTATGGTTCTCCTGTGTGCAAATTTGCACTGCATGATTAGCTGTGTACATTTTATCTTGATCTACACTTAAACATAACTGTGCATATTCTACTTTTCTCTTCACAACTTTACCTTTAATACTGTAAGTTATTGATTGTGCTAGACCAGGTGTTGCAGCTGGAAAAGCTGCAGGAATGCATGTCATAGCTGTACCTTCAGTCCCCAAAAGGACTGCTGAATTCAGTTCTGCTGATGAGGTGATCAATTCCCTCCTTGACGTAAAGCCTGAAAAATGGGGATTGCCACCATTTAGTGATTGTATGCTCTAACTCTTGGGACTACTTCTGTTAGAAAATTCTGGGCATCTTTAACTTATCTACTGACATATTTCTTATGCAGGGATCGATGATACCTTACCAATAGAACCATGGTTTATTGGTGGACCTGTGATTAAAGGATTTGGCCGTGGTTCTAAAGTACTAGGAATTCCAACAGGTATGGTGGAGCATATAACTAGAGAGTAATTTATGAGCTCTACGGCTTTTGTGGTTTTACATTCTATGAATTGCAAGAATGATTTTTCTCATATGGTGTGTTACTCTCTTTATTTGCTGGACCATGTCAAAGTACTCAGCCGATTCATTTTTTCAATGCTAGCATGCCGAATTTCCATTGTGAGCACTGATAGCTATATATTTTCCTTGCAGCCAACTTACCTGCAGAAAACTTCTCCGACGTACTATCAGAGCATACATCAGGGGTATACTTTGGCTGGGCTGGACTTTCAACGCGAGGTATATTTAAGATGGTCATGAGCATTGGCTGGAACCCTTATTTTGATAACACGGAGAAGACTATTGTGAGTGTTTCTCAATACATCCCCTTTCATGTTTAGTACTTCAGTATATTAGTTTATTCTAAAAGACATTGGTCACAGGAACCATGGTTGCTTCACGATTTTGGTGAAGACTTTTACGGAGAGGAGCTGCGCCTTGTTATTGTTGGTTACATACGACCCGAGGTAATTTAGGACCAGACTATTTATACTGCAGAAGCCATCCCACTATATGTTGATGCATGTTCCTGACTTGTCACGTTGTTATGAAAATGCCTAGGCCAACTTTCCTTCACTTGAGAGCTTGATAGAGAGGATTCACGAGGATGCAAGGATATCAGATAAGGCCCTGAATTTACCATTATACGCCAAGTATAAAGACTCGCCGTACCTAAGAAATTCCTTGAAGGAGGACAATTCTGCTAACGGGAACCAGTCAGTGATAGATTCCAAGTGATTCAACGTTGTGAAGTGAAAGACATGAAGAATTCTCTTTCGCAGCGTTGTTGATGCAGAAAGAGCACTACTGTTCTTGTGCTTGTACTGCTGCATTATGTTCCATGAATACTTGGAACATGCTCTTGACTACAATGAGAATACCAGTAAGGGTCTATGTTCGTCAGAAAGTTGAGTTAGAAGCAGCCAACTACTATCTTCTCAAATGGTCACCTACTCCTAGAATGGAATGCACAAGATGTCTGAAAATTTGCACGTGTGTTGTGGCTCTGACCATGTGAAGCTTAGGCTGTCTATCTAACGTTCTGAATTAACTTTTCTAATATGCATTGAGATTGGTATTTCATTACAGTGTGTATAAAGATATACTATAAAGTACTACTCCATTCTAGAAAAATGCAAATCCTAGCTACGAACCTGGACACGCATATGTTTAGGCTCATAGCTAGAATTGGATTCTTTTTGGATGGAGGGGTAGAAAGCAAATAAAGCTCGGTTATTGTTGGTTACCAGCTACGAGAACAGTTTCACAACCTTCACAAGGAACTCGAGAAAACACGATATTGCTCATTGTCAGTTGCGAGGGCACACGGCAAACGGCAAAGCTTCTCCCACGGCAACACACAAATCAGGCCAAAGCCTCTTTGTCAGTAGTAGTCGCGTTTTGCCACCCGGAAGCAGCAACTTGGCGATCGAGAGCTTCGATCGCTTGCTCCTCGATCCGTTGCCTTTTGTGCTTTTTTTGGCCTCTTCTCATCTTTTGCTCGCCGTGAACGCCGAGACGAAGCTAAAGCCGCCCCGGTGATGACGCCGACGCCCGTCGTGACGCGCGCGCTGCCGTCTCCGCCATGGGAAGAGCCCGCGTGCGGCGACGAGCGATCGACCGCGAGCGAAGCGCGCACACGCACACGAAACCCTCTTCAAGTACACGCGACACCGCTCGTCTTCGTCAATCGAACAGTTCGATCAAGCTGTGTTAATTAGCAGCCATGGCGTTGGAGCATCTCGGGAGGAGGAACGTGGCGGGGTCGCTGCTGCTGCTGAACCTCCTCATGTACGTCTTCTTGCTGGGGTTCGCCGGGTGGGCGCTCAACAGCTCCATCAAGAACGCCGGCGCCGACGTCGGCGTCGGCTGGGGGGAGCAGCCGTGGTCGCCGTACTACCGCCAGAGCGCGTGGTTCGCCTCGAGGTTCCACCTCGCAACGTTCGCGGCGCTGGCGGGGGCGCTGGGCGTCGCGGCGAAGGCGTCCGCGGCGTACCACGGCGGCCGCTCGGGCGCGTCGTGGCGGCCGCAGGGGCTCGCCGCCGCGGCGTCGCTCGGCACCGCCGCGTGGGCGGCCACCGCGCTGGCGTTCGGGGTGGCGTGCAGGGAGATCCACGACGCCGCCGCGGCGGGGCCCGCCGGCGCCGCGCGCGGGTGGCGGATGCGCGCGCTGGAGGGGCTCACCGTGACGCTGGCGTTCACGCAGCTCCTCTACGTGCTGCTGCTGCACGCCGCCGTCGCCGGCGAGCGCTGCGGCCTCGCCTGCGCCGCCGACGCATGATCATCTCGATCGAGCTCTCTGGATCAATTTCATTAATTTCCAAATAATAATAACCGGGCGTGTTTGTGTTATGTCACCGGGAAATGTGTTTTGCTGATGTGTACGCGTTGGGGTTCTCGCGACGTCGATTGTAGTATTGCAAATTTGCTGCTTTTTAATAATGGAATAAATATCCCCACCGCTGCACTTTAAGGATGCACAAATAATCCTGATTACTTATACTCCCTTAATTACGAAACTTTGTTTGCAGTTTCAATTAGGTAAGTTTTAATTGGCATCTACATGTAACAAAACATGCATAATAATATATTACGAAAACCAACCCCATTTCCAATCAAAACTAATAAAAGAAATAGATGCTATTTGTTTGGTTTTAAAAGTTAGGAAAAAATAACCAATTTTATATTTAGGATTGAAAATATACTTGGGGAACCCTAGCCCGCGTGGAACCGTATCCTCTAACATTACACACTAAGAGCATCTCCAACAGCCTCTCCATCCCACTCTCCAAGCCAAATTTTAGCTATTCAGCCAAAAAACGTGCTCCAACAGCCTCTCTAACCGGATGGCTAAGCCGGATTGGCTGGCCAAAACCCTCTCTCCACTAGCTAAATTTGGCCATTCTATTTGGCTGGCCAATGGTGGGTCCCACACAGCCAAACTCCTCCATGGCTCCATCCCCACACGAGGCAACCAGGGAGAGGCACGAGAGGAGCACGGAAACGAGGACGAGCACGGCGACCGCCGGCCTTCGCTCGCCGCCGCACCAAGCCAGTCGCCGGCGCCGGCCACCGCGCGGTGCCTCTAGCCGCCTTCGCTTGCCGGCCTCCGCGCGGCGGCGCCGCCCGCTGCCTCCGCTCGACGCGGCCGCCGGCCTGCGCGCGGCACCGCCGCCTGCCGCCTCGGCTCGTCGCGGTCCCCGGCCTCCGCGCGGCACCGCCGCCCGCCGCCCCGCGCGGCGCCGCTCGCCGCCTCGGCTCACCGCGGCCGCCGGCCTCTGCGTGGCGCCGCCGCTCGCCGCCTCCGCTCGCTACGGCCGCCGGCCTCCGCACAGCGCCGCCGCCGCTCGCTGTTCTCCGCCGGAGAGAATGCAGTAGTCCAGCTGGAGGGAGGAAGAAACATAAGGGTCCCATTTGTAATAGAGTTGTAATAGAGAGGGTAGATGGAGAGACTGTTGAAGTGAACAACTAGTTTGACTAGCCAAATCAGATGGAGGGTTGGCTATGTGGGTGTTTGGAGAGTTCGATTTGGAGAGGCTGTTGGAGATGCTCTAATGTCACGGTGTGACATTCCTTTGATCCACACCATCCATTCTAAATACGGTCATAGATTATTTAGCATGCAATTAATCAAACTAATTAGTAGATTATGTAGTTAAACAAATTCCAGTAGACCAAATATATTATCAAGGAGGCAAATATCGCTAAATGCTACAGGAATCGGCAAGTAACTAGCACATGACGATAATTAGGTTTAACTTACCTATTAGACGCAATGATTAGCATATGAACCTGTTAAGGAATGAATCTCGTGCATCAATTTTCTTTGTGTTGCCACATCTTCCATAAGAAAAAGACAATTCTCTTAATCTACAAGTTGGTGGGCTCATGTTAATGAACATGAAGGGACTACTTTAGTGCTAAAAAAATTTCCTACTCATTAAGTATGGTAATATTTAACTACATAATCTGCTAATTAATTTGATTACTTGTATGCCAATTAATCTATAGCCATTGATTTAGTTTGGATGGTCTGGATTCAAGAATATCACACCGTGACATTAGTGTGTAATATCAGAGGATACAGTTCCAGCACGCACATACGCGCTAGCAATTTAACTGTCGCGCGCGTCAGTTGGGCCCCCTCCTGGCGCCCTTTTTTTCACGCGTTTCATTTTTTTCGTCCGATTTTGGCGTGGTGTTTTTCTTCAAAAACTTTCTCCTTTTTTTATACATAGGTCGTCGATTCCACATTGGATAAAAAAGGGCAGGTGCCGCTTCTTTCCAATTTTTTTCAATCTTTCGCACAACTCTTTACAAATATACAATTGAAAGTTTTTAATTTTGACTTAAAAGATTTCAAATCTTGACTTGAAAGGATTCAAATTTTGTGTTAGAAAGTTTCAAATTTGAGTTAAAAGTTTTCAAATTTTGAGTTAAAAGTTTTTAAATTTGAGTTGAAAGTTTTCAAATTTGACTTGAAAGTTTTCCAATCTGGGTTGAAAGTTTTCAAATCTGAACTAAAAGTTTTAAATTTGAGTTGAAAGTTTTTCAAATTTGAGATGAAAAGTATATGTTGAAAAAAAAAATTTAATTGAATGTTTTCAAATATGAGTTGAAAGTTTTAAATTTGGGATATGATGTCTTAAATTTTGGGTAGAGTTTTTCAAAATTTTATTTGAAAGATCTAACTTATATTTGAAAAGTTAAAAAGAAGCAACGCTGAATACGGTATAATTATTCGAAAAGAAACAAAAAGATCTGAACTAATCACAATAATCCCCTAATCGCCGTACTAATCGTTCTAATCACCGTTGTCAGGGTTATGGATACCACATATCTAATAGTAGTTGATTAAATCTCGGCAGGACCCACCACATATCATGTCTTATACGGAAACTGACCTCGGATATGGAGGGAGTTTTGGATAAGGAAAGACAACCGGAGTTATACATGGAAACGACAAGGACTACTCAGATTGTATCCATATTGATTTTCCCTAGTTCTACTTGGACAAGGGGACACCTATGGGTATAAATACAAGACACCCTAGGAGGAGAGGGGACACAAAATAATAGATCAAGACACAAGATCAACATACAAGACAACATACACCAAGTCGACAACAATTAGATAGGCTACCCCAAATATTATACTGGTGTGATTATGGTGAATAAGAGCAATGACCGGCTTCGGCCAACAGGAGTAGGGTTATTACCTGACAATTTAGGGGCCCGAACCTATATAAAAATCCTCGTCCCCATCTCTTTTACTACAATCTCGCATATATCCTAGTACCAACGATTCTCATACTATGCAAATATCGGAATCACGACAACAAACGTCGACAACCGTACTAATCATTTTTTGTTTCCGATTTTATCCTATAGCACCGTGCGCTCCTACGCTTCACGAGTGACATGTGTCCGTGCGCTGGTAAGATATCATGCGCGTACGCGCGAATTAGTACTTCTCGAATATACTTTGAGCAAAATCCAATAGCCATAAAGGAACCTATACTTACAATCTTGTACATTTACTATTTAGCCGTAATAGTTAGGTGAGTTCATTATCTTATTTAATATAATTATTATCTACTTTTACAAACTACGATGCAACAACTACTATAAACTAAATTTATATTGGGATAAATTGAGAGATAGAATGAAGACGGAGGACATTTTGGTTTGATGTCAAAATATGCCCTAACAGATGTCAGGGTTATAGATACCATATACCTAATAGTAGTTGATTAAATCTTGACAGGACCCACCATATACCATGTCTTATATGAAAACTGACCTCGGATATGGAGGGAGTTTTGGATAAGGAAAGACAACTAGAGTTATACATGGAAACGACAAGTACTACTCAGATTGTATCCATATTGGTTTTCACTAGTTTTATTTGGACAAGGGGACACCTATGAGTATAAATACAAGACACCCTAGGAGGAGAGGGGACACAGAATAATAGATCAAGAGACAAGATCAACATACAAGCCAACATACGCAAGACAAGCCGCCGTATATCGACATCAGAGATATGCCTGGATCGACCCTATCCGGTACCTACAGAGGCCGGCCGTAGGGATCTAGCGATGTCTCTGATCTCGCCGGGCACGAACTCGAGGAGGAAGACTACCCTGTTGTTGACTACGAGTCAGAACTTCAGACCGCCATGTCAACAACAGTTAGATAGGCTACCCCAAATATTGTACTGGTGTGATTATGGTGAATAAGAGCAATATCGGCTTTGGCCAACAGGATGTAGGGTTAATACCTGACAATTCAGGGGCCCGAACCTGTATAAAAATCCATGTCTCCATCTCTTTTATCTCAATCTCACGTATATCCTAGTACCAACGATCCCCATAGTATGCAAATACCGGAATCGCGACATCAAACGTCGACACCTGATTGTTGAAATTTTGAATAATAATTTGGCTAGTGTTTGATTTACTACCAAAATGTGCCAATGCCCAATATAATATAATAAGTTGCTAAGCGCCTGTTCAGATTGTATAAAAAATAAACGTTACCAAATTTTAGCAAGTTAGCAATATTGCCAAAATTAATATTACCAAAATTTTGGCAAGATTTCTTATGTATCTACCAAATTTGGCAATAAATTAAACATAGACATTTTTTGGCAACTTTACCAAAAAATAGTATGGTTGAAAATGGCATCAATCTGAACAACCCCTAAAATATTTGGCGCTATTAAAATTTGGGTTTAGTATTGTTAATATTTTGGCATTGTAACAAACCAAAACCGAGATGAAGTAGTAATAATGGGCCTCTTTGATTTAAAGGAATGCCAAAGGATTTTCGGAGGAATGGGATTCCAAAGGATTTTTTCCTTCAAGCCTCTTTGATTTATAGGAAAGGCAAGTATAAATTCCATAGGATTGCATTTTTATGAGTGGATTTCAAAGGAAACTAAAAAGAGGTCAGACCTCTTGGAAATGAAGTGATGTGTAAATTTCTTTGTTTTCCCTATGCCTCTGTTAAAGGATCTTCTTACATTTTGCTCTGTTTTCTTTTCCATAGAATTTAAAAATCCTACCACTTAAAATCCTATGTTTTTCCTATTTATGTGTTTTTCCAATCATGTGAATAACCAATCTTATAATACGAATTCCATGCAAAAAAATCCAAAGAAGAATTGTGCCACGTGGCAACACCGGTTTCGCGGAACGGCTCGTTCCTGCTTGCGCGCGTGCAGCGTGAAACGCTCGTGTGCGTGCGTGCAACAGTTGTCAAGAAGGTCGTCCGGAAGTTTCTATCGATGGAGCAATTAGAGCAAGTTTAATAGTATAGCCCACTACTGGCTTCAATTCATCTATAGCGAATCTAATAGCTCATTCATACAATAGTTACATACTACACTATTAATATCTGGTCCCACCCGTCATACACACACCGCGTCTTGGAGTCCGTGCTGCAGCTGGCTACAAATCTGTAGCTCGCTGCCCTTCTCTCTCCTCATTTATCTTCTTAAAATATGTTTGCAGCTGGCTTATAGCCTGCTATTTTACCTACTCTTAGGTCCATGGGGGCACTGTAGGCTATGTGATTTCCCGCGTAGTCGCGTTGCCGCCGTACAGCTGGCAAAGCTCAGGCAGCTATTGCTTCCTCCTACCACCGGATATTGAGGATTAAAGAAGTAATAATACATACTTTGGTTAGAGACTAAAAGAGGATTAACAGGATGTAATCAAATCACCCACTAAAATTCCTAAGTTGCAAACATCCATCCTTTTATTTTGTATCCGTATTCATGTGATTTATATTATTTCTTTCATGTGTTTTCCTCTACCGAAATCATAGGACCTTTTCTCTTTGGGGCAATTTCATTCTTTCTTCTACTTTGATGTTTAATATTGATGTTGCCCAATATTTTAGGGTTTTATTTTTGCCCATGGTTTTTTAAATTAAGATAAATTTTGCCCCTACTTTTGATGGATAGATTAACGATGTTAAATCTTCAGTGAGAAGGCATTCAATACTCTTACTCATGTTGCAAACTTCCCCTGTTTTTATTCATGATTGAGAATTTGCACCACATTTAGCACATGAACCTTGCAATTTTGATATACTTTTACCAATATAATAATTTTGATAGAAATATCAACAAAAAAATTGCTTAAAAATTTGACATCTTGAAAAAAAAAACAAATAGACAAGTCAAGCAAATCTATTGCCTACATGTGCCAAGCTGTCATTGTTGCCTCCTCCTCTCACGAACCGCCGCCGCCGTCGCCTCCTCCTCACGTCGAGCTGCTACCATCACCTCCCCGCGCTAAGCCACTGTTGTCGCCTCCTCCTCTCATCGAGCCACCGCCACCGCCGTTGACCCGTTGTCCTCCTCCCTGTCGTCTCCTCGACACGTCGAGCAGCTACGCCTTCTCCCTGCGCTGAACTACAGCAGCCGCCATTGTCCTCCTCCCTATCACGTCCTCTTGCGCAATGCCTAGCCCCCTCCTGCACGCTGCAACTGGGTTGGGTGGCCTGCATCTGGCCGAGTCATCCCCGTTGCCTGGCCGGCCCACGAACACTGCCGCCACTGTTTCACAACGGAGATTCGGGTTTGGGAAGGGAATAGTCGATGCCAAGTGCCCAAGCCTGAAAGTACACCAAGGCTGTGTTCGCTAGCCATGGATTGGAACGTTACCCTCCCACACGGAAAACGGAGCGATCTATTAGTGCATGATTAATTAAATATTAGCTATTTTTTTAAAAAATGGATTAATTTGATTTTTTTAAGCAACTTTCGTATAGAAACTTTTTGCAAAAAACGTACCGTTTAGCAGTTTGAAAAGCGTGCGTGCGGAAAACGAGGGAGAGGGGTTGGGAACTCATGGTTTCAAACACAGCCCAAGCGTTACTTGGATATTTTCTAGGGGTAAAAGGGTCAATCAATAATTTAAAATATCGTTATCTCTTTCTTTCTCTAATTCTTTACCGCATTAAGTCCGATCCCACTCATTTCCGTAAAAAAAAAGGTAAATGCCTCATCCGTTTTAAAAAAATTGGGCAAAAAACAACAACCCTAAAATATAGGGTAAAATCGGTATTGGATATTAAAGTAGGGGTACAAACAAAATTGCCCCTTTCTCTTTTCTCCCTCAGTCAAATGCAACCTATATATGTCTTGTAAGGGCTACTTTGGAAGGAAGATCGAGGGATGAATAGGAAAAACATACAATTCTAACAAAAAATCAAGCGCAAAACAAAGAATTATAAAACACATAAAAAATATATGAAATCACCATTTGATTGGACCGTACGAAAAATGCAAGAATTGGATGATAGAGATAAACTCATAAAAGACTTTGCATGATATTGGACCTCATGTTAAAAATACTCCAAAACTTATATGAATTTGGGCATTCCTTAGAAATTTGATAAGATTCGATAGTTTTCAATAATCCTTTGGTTCAAATAATCATATAGAAAAAAAATATTATTCTATACAGAATAAAAGTTTCTATATTTTTCTTTCAAGTTAAGGGGTCCTAATTAGATACTCCACTAAAGTCGAATGAGCTGGGTTCACTTTACCATACGTGGCTGCCACGCAGTTTTTCTAGTGGGCCCTAAGTTAACGCGACGAACCGACTCGACCAGTTTCTCCGAAAGGCACCACGCCTCTCCCCGCCCGTGCTGGAACACGCACCGACCCGCTCGGAAAAAAAAAAAGAAAAGAAAAACAGAGCGCGCGTCTCGCGCACAGCGCACAGGACGTCGGCGCGGCGGCGGCGAGCGGCGAGCGGCCGATGGCGGACGGCGGGGAGATGGACGAGGAGGCCATGCGGGCCTTCTTCCCGATGTCCTTCGGCAAGGCGCCCACGCGCGCCGGCGCCGCCGCCTCCGCGCACGCCTCCACCCTCCGCAAGCCGCCCCAAAACCCTAGCGCCAAGCCCTCCACCTCCTCCGCTGCCGCCGCCGCCGCCGCGGGCGACGACGACGACGACGACGACGACGACGACGACGAAGGGCCCATGGTCGGGCCCCCTCGGCCCCCGCCCCAGCCCGCTGGCGGCGGCGAGGGGGAGGACGACGAGGAGGGCGGCGGGGTGATGATTGGGCCACCTCGGCCGCCGCCGCGGTCGTCCTCTCGCGGTGAGGGGGAGGACGCGGATGGCGGCATGATTGGGCCGCCTCGGCCGCCACCGGTGAAGGATGATGACGAGGAGGACGAGGATGACGACGACGACGATGGGGATGACAGCGACGACGAGATGGAGGATGACGGCGAGCGTTACAATCGGATTCCTCTCAGCAACGAAGTTGTTCTGCGGGGGCACACCAAGGTAGCCCATAAGCAACTCGCCGATATTATCTGTTTGTCCTTGCTAAAGTTTGTGTGCTCAAATTTCTGGATATTTATTGTGCCATTTACATTTGTATCATTTTGTGAATAATTTAGCTCAGCTAAGTTGGTTTCATTAGCAGTTATTTAGCTGAATTAGACAAACCAGAATTCCTACACATTTTGTTGTCTGTAGTATTGTTGTAGGCTAGGTTCCAGAGAAGATATATTTATGATTGAGTATTACTGGTGACTTATTTGGCCTAATTGAGCGACTTGGCAAGTCCAAAGAAAGAGAATTGTTGGTGATCTTAGCTAGATGAAGGGCATGGTAAATTTTAGTTTTGAAAAGGAATAAATCAAATGGTGCTTTCTTGAGATGGCCCTCAAAGGTTTGGTCTCCTGGTGGTGCCATTAAGGGATTTCTGCAACTTTGCGTGCTTAGTTGTTTACTTGGTTTTGTTGATTGCTTAATCTAGTTGAGGTACACAAGTGAGGGATAGGTTAATTCCAGAACCATTTTTTTTGTCTTTGTTATGAGATTACTAGATACACATATTGTATTTACTGGTTAACAATTAAATGATTTTCTTTGCAGGTTGTCTCAGCCCTCGCTGTTGACCATACAGGATCCCGAGTGCTCTCTGGAAGCTATGACTACACTGTATGTATGTATGACTTCCAAGGTATGAACTCAAAGCTGCAATCATTCAGGCAGTTAGAACCCTTTGAGGGGCACCAAGTTCGCAGCTTAAGTTGGAGCCCAACATCGGATCGGTTCTTATGTGTTACTGGTTCAGCTCAGGCCAAGGTAATCTGCCTTTATAGTCTTCTGTAAGTTCCCAAAAGTGCACTCCCTATGACTTGAAAATTGTATTGATGTTTGGAATTATGCTTGTAATCAGATATATGATCGGGACGGGCTCACACTAGGTGAGTTTATTAAGGGTGACATGTATATCCGAGATCTGAAGAATACAAAAGGGCACATTTCTGGGCTTACCGGTGGTGAATGGAATCCCAAGTCAAAAGAAACCATACTGACGTCATCAGAAGATGGATCTATTCGTCTGTGGGATGTATCAGACTTTAAAAGTCAAAAGCAGGTACAGAAAATTTTGGGTATATCAGAATCCTTAAATGCACTGTTATCTGTTCTCTTTGGAACTAATAGTTGCTTGAAGTTCAATCATTTACTGTTTTGCATGATTTAATCTTTCATTGTTTGCTAAAGTGGAATACTCAAATTCATCCTTTTTTTTCAATAGGTCATAAAACCTAAGCTTGCAAGACCAATGCGAATTCCAGTTACCTCATGTGCCTGGGATCATGAAGGCAAGCGAATTGTTGGTGGGATAGGCGATGGTTCAATTCAGGTATATTATTTTTGCATAATAATATCAAACTTTCCCTATCACTTTTTATGCCCCTATCAGATGCTTTCATTAAAATGCTTTATGATATGAATGATATCTCTTTTGCAGCTCTGGACTGTCAAGACTGGATGGGGAAGCAGGCCAGATATACATGTTGAGAAAACACATACGGAGGATATTACAGGGGTCAAGTTCTCCACAGATGGACAAATACTCCTGTCAAGAAGTATGGATAGTACTCTGAAGGTAATTTTTCTGGCCTGTTGGGTGTTATGTTTTGACAGTATTTTGCATATTACCTGCTTGAACATGATCGTTAGTCATGATTAATGCTGAAGCTGCGATGTGTTCAATTTTCTGTTTTTTGCTAGTACTCTTTTCTTTATTTATAATTTTTGAATGAGCTGTATAATTCAATGCAGATATGGGATTTGAGGAAAATGAAAACTCCTTTGAAAGTTTTTGAAGATTTACCAAATCACTATGCTGAGACAAATGTGGCTTTCAGCCCCGATGAGCAACTTATTTTCACAGGAACTTCTATTGAGAAAGACGGTGAAAATGGAGGCCTACTTTGCTTCTTTGATAGAAGGAAACTTGAGCTTGTATCAAGGGTGGGGATTTCACCACATTATAGTGTGATAAGGTGTCTATGGCATCCAAGGATTAATCAAGTAATTTCTAAATACTGAATGGATCACAACTCCTGAATAACATTTTTAGGACATTATATTAAACTCCTATGTTTTTTTATTCAGGTATTCGCAACAGTTGGGGATAAGAAGGAAGGTGGTACTCATATCTTATATGATCCTTCTATTAGTCAGAGAGGAGCACTTGTATGTGTTGGACGAGCACCTAGGAAAAAATCTGTTGACGATTTTGAGGTGCAACCTGTAATACATAATCCACATGCACTGCCACTATTTAGAGATCAACCAAGTCGGAAACGCCAAAGAGAGAAGATACTGAAAGACCCGCTCAAATCACATAAACCTGAAGCTCCAGTCAATGGTCCTGGCTTTGGTGGAAGAGTCGGTACTACAAAAGGCAGCTTGTTGACACAGTACCTCTTGAAGGTAATATACAGATTAATTGCTCCTTAATCTATTATGAATAATGTGTGACAAACTTTTGGTTAGTTCCATACTTAGAAACAAAGTACACCTGTTTCTGATTGACGCTGCATTGATGCGTATTTTTTTGCCTTCTTTATTACAGGAGGGTGGTTTGATTAAGGAGACATGGATGGACGAGGATCCAAGAGAGGCAATTTTGAAGTATGCAGATGCTGCAGAGAAAGATCCAAAGTTCATTGCACCAGCATATTCCCAAACTCAGCCGAAACCTGTATTTGCAGAGTCGGATTCTGAAGGCGAAGAGAAAAAATAATGTATGCATCTAATCTACTTATTTCGTAAACTAATCTATCATGACTGGTATTTTGTTTTTCTGACGAGAGTCACTCTAGTGCAGTGACAATATTAAGTTACATGCATGATGAGCCTGGTAACACAATTTGTTGACAAAGGTACTCCATTGTTTCATTTCATTGTTGGATGTTATATTCTCTTATGTTTAGTCTGAATAGTTCGGCTTGTTTGGGAGAGACCTGCTTATCATTTTTCTGGGGTCATTTTTCATGTCTCGTTTCATTTTCTTCAGATAACATTGGAGACAATCTGTTTAGAAAACTATTGTGAAAGAGTTGTGGCCCATGTAGCAGTCCGGCACGATGTGGCTTTGATGTATACCATTACCACCAACACGTTCTCCATCCATCAGGCTTCCAGTCCTGTTTGTGCGCAGCAGCTCACAATAATACGACCGGTGTACAATTATGTCGTTGGCTGGCAACTGATGTGGACATTATTTGTACCTACTGACAGTAGTAACTCCAGCTTATTTTGTATCTTGATCAGTATACAATCTCGCGTTCTTCCATCATGTATTGTCCATGGTGAAGCTGTAGCCTGTTTGCAGACATAAATGCATTTACCGTAGGGCAAAGTTGTCATACTGATTTGGATGTTATTTGCAGAATCTACGCAGATTATTCTTCGATCAATTTGATAGGGCCCGACCAATTCAGGTCATAGGCAAAACGCTTATTAATATGACCCAAAGATTTGACTCAAGCCCCTTACAATAATCTTACAATAACCACCCTATCAGTTATTATCCATATCCATAACTACAATCGTCTTGCTTTCAACCGAATTTAGAGTTGTCCACTAAATTTTAACACCTTCAGCGAATTTCTGTGCACGGCTCTGACGCGAGCGGCCAAAACAGACAGATACTCTAAACACAAACTGCCTTTGCTTCCATCGCCAACTAACTTAACCATTTGACTAAATGACAAACTACCTTTGCTTCCATCGCCAACTAACAAATGGACAAAACCGAATTTCCGATGCCTTGAGGAGAAATCACTTGGCAAATGCAGATGGTAGAAACAAGGGTCAAAGTACCTGATTTTATCCTTTCTTTGCCTCAGTAGCCAATTCTCCTGCCAATCAAATCAAGGTGTGAGCCAAAGATAAATTGCTGAATCACAAATCAAGGTCTAAATCTATAAAAAATAGCTAGTTTGATAAAAATATATTCAAGTTGACCTTTGAAGTTTGAACTAGTAGTCATTATTAATCAAGGCGCTAGGCGCTACTGGGGGCAGCGGATAGCTAGAATGTCTGAAAAATACAATTACATTGAAAAGAATAATGAGATGGATGCTTGGCCAAGAAGCTGAGAACACGCCACCCATGGTATTGGATGCTGGTTTCTTGTATATGTGATAAACACCAAAACCTTCTCTGATGGAGCCTTTGACCTTGGATACATAGAATTCAAGTATAAAAGCACTGGTCCTGGATAGCTCAAGAGGGTGGATAGCTCAAGAGGGAGCTCAGTTCTTCACAAGTAAGCTGAAATCGTCAGCAGAGCAATTGCTAAATAATCGAAGACCGAATGTAAGTCGACTGTTTCTGATTCCCTTGAACTCAATATGATGTTTCGATGAAATAAGACTGTCCTCTCCTAGGGAAAGGGTTATGTTCCTTTCTTCTCAAATTTGAGTGCATTTTTTTCTGCAAATATTACATATATAGTGTAGATTCTTCAATTAATGAAAGGATAAATCATACAGTCAGAATAAAACATTCCATTAGCAATAGGAGTAAAGTCTTTTAGGTTTTGACATTGAAGATGGTTTTTCCTTTGTTGAACAAAGCGTGGCTATCTTTCATTATATTGATGTAAACAAAACTTTCTGCACATCATGAAGAACTGAGGACCAAATTTAGAACAAAAGGAAAACAGAGATAGCGAGTAACTCATCAATTAGTAGCATACACTTAGGCATATCTTGAATGTGTTTGATTGTTTCAGATGTCATAATTTGATGTAATATGGATTACTAATGTAGTTCAGTCCTCGTGGGGTAAGTATGGGGTATTCAGAGTAGTTCTGGCTCCCAGATTCTCCTCTGGAGCAGCCATAACCACCAAACAGGCCAGCTCTGTTAAAACAAAAATACAGAACCTGATACTGTTTGTTCTGAATACTTGTACACATAATTTAACTGAAAAAAAAATCAGTGGCTGACAATACTAAATTCTATCAGAAAGTGACTGTCAAGATTTTTTCAAGGCGTACATCAAAATGGGAAAATTGGTGGCAGCAATAGGTAAATTGCTCTGCTGTGTACAAGTTGACCAGTCAACAGTAGGCATCAAGGAAAGATTTGGGAAATATGAGGAGGTGCTTGATCCTGGATGTCACTGCGTGCCATGGATTATTGGAAGCCGTGTTGCTGGTGAGCTTACACTAAGGCTTAGGCAGCTAGATGTACGTTGTGAGACAAAGACAAAGGTATAACATATCACTTCTCACAAGTTAAAAATTATCCATTTATCCTCTCCATGCACCACATTTCTTTTAGATTCATGTTGTCTTTTACTACTGCTTCTGGACTTAATTTTACTTATGCATCCTCTCATAGGACAATGTTTTTGTTACGGTTGTTGCATCCATTCAATATCGAGCAATGGAGGACAAAGCAAGCGATGCATACTACAAGCTGAGCAACCCAAAATCCCAAATCCAATCTTATGTCTTTGATGGTAAGGACAACTCCTTACAATATAGTCATTTCTGGATATCTCAGATGACAATATCAAGGACCCATACCAAACTTGAATTTGTCAATGCTAAAGACCCTCTCTATTAGGTTATTGATAACTATAAATATATACATATATATTATATTTACTTCCATTCTGAAGTAATAGCGTGAATACAGATTATATTGAATTTTACTTGTTTTCCTTTTTCTTCAGTTATCAGGGCAAGTATTCCCAAACTAGAATTGGACGATGCTTTTCTGCAAAAGAATGAAATAGCAAGAGCTGTGGAGGAGGAGCTTGAGAAGGCAATGCTAGCTTATGGTTATGAGATTGTGCAAACACTGATTGTTGACATAGAACCAGATGAGAAAGTTAAGAGGGCGATGAACGAAATTAATGCTGGTAGGTAGTGTTCACCTACACCTTGAAATTTGTTTTGACCTAGAAACTGACACAATCAAGAATGAAGACAAGAAAAGTTCATACCTAGTATAGCATAATACAATCAAGTGCAATGAATATCACTATAGCAGTTGGTCATCCATTTCCAATTGCAACTGTGGTATTAAAAGGAGTAATAATCAATCACTATAGCAGTTTGATTTATAGTGTTAACCATTTCCTTCTTTTATTTTGTTCAGCTGCAAGGCTACGTGTTGCAGCAAATGAGAAGGCAGAGGCAGAGAAGATCATTCAGATCAAGAGGGCCGAGGGAGAGGCTGAAGCCAAGTATCTGTCTGGGCTTGGTATTGCAAGGCAGCGGCAGGCTATAGTTGATGGGCTAAGAGACAGTGTACTTGGCTTCTCTGGCAATGTTCCTGGGACTTCAGCTAAGGATGTGATGGATTTAGTCCTGCTGACGCAGTACTTTGACACTATGAAAGAGATCGGTTCAACATCCAAATCTTCAGCAATTTTCCTCCCTCATGGCCCTGGTGCTGTTGCAGATATTGCCAGTCAGATCCGTGATGGATGTCTTCAGGCTCATCAAACAAAGTGAAAAATCCAAGGAAGCAGTAACTTGGATTGGTGAGGGCCTTTCCACTGGTTTGTATGTGCTTGAGGATATTGTGTGAGGTTGTAAAAATAGTATCAAGCTTGTAGAATAGTTTGTGCTTAATGTAGATCAGGTATTCTCTGGGATAGGTTCCAATCCATACGGAATGAAGAATGTGTGCTTTACATGAATCTAGTTGATGGTTGTGGTGTGCTTACATACAGTATGCTGCATGTGTGCTGTGAGAAAAATAATGTTGTCAGCCTGTATATCCTCAATATATAGCCTTGATTGCGGAATTTGGTCATCACTGTCAGATATAACATGTTTCGGATTTTATCAGGTAGGAAAATATGCACTACTAAGCAAACTGGGAAACAGAAATGAAGTAAAAAAAACCAATTACGAGACTAAACATAAACAATAGAGCTGAATAATCATATCAAAGGGTATAACACGAGACTAGCATTTCTAGAAAAAAAAGAATATATATTGGTTAAGCAATGGAGATTAGCTATTCAATTTGGCCAGTCCAATACTCTTCAACTGCGCCAGATACAAAGACTGATAGAACCAACGGCAAACCATGACACCTCATGTTTTTGCCATCTCACAACAAAATTTCATGAACTTACTCACTGTTTGCATTGCAGGAACGAAATCACAATTCCAGTGGTAAGCTTCATCCCAATTTTCAACTACATTGTAGCACAAACTATCTACCACTGCATAGTTAGGTCAGTGAACACTAGATCGTCTTCCTGAACTGGACCAACGACCATGATTAAAACTACTATAAATTAGCAATGCGGATTAAAATCTGGTGATGAGTGTACCTATTATTGTAGCTGCGAAGAGGGGATGCATCAGTAGGGGTGTTCCTCCTTGGGGTACCCTTCCTCCGGCCAGTAGCTCAGCCACGAGAACATGGGCCCCTTCGCCATGGCTAGCTCCAGGATGTCGGCGCCGGCGACCCCGGGGTCCACGTCCCTCCCGATCAACCTCACCGCATCGGCGAGCCTGTCCACCCCGCTCCCTCCTCCTCCTCCTCCCGCCCCGGCCGCCGGAATCGGCGCCCCTCCCTTCCTCCTCCCCCTCCCGCCTCGCCCCCCCGCCGCCGCCCTGCTCGCGCGTCGGCTGCTCAACGGAGAAGGCGCGTGGAGCATCGTGGGAGGGAGCACCCGGGCTTCCGCCGCCGCCGACGAGGAGGCCGGCGGCCGCGGTGGCGGTGGCGCTTCCGCCATGGCTTGCAACGGAAGGAGGCTTGCAGTTTCGCGCTTTATTTTTTTCTAAGTAAACTTCAGAAAACTGTAACTATAATGACGCTGCAACATTAGTGATCGTGTGTTTGCAACCCCTTTTTCCCAACCTATCTTCCTCGTTTTCCACGCGCAGGCTTTTCAAACTGCTAAAGGGTGTGTTTTTTTAAAAAGTTTTTATACGAAAGTTGCTTAAAAAAAATCAAATTAATCCATTTTTTTTAAAAAAGCAAATACTTAATTAATCACGTGCTAATGGACCGCTCCGTTTCCCGTGTTTACTATGCAAGTTGGGAAACTGGAGTAGCGAACACACCCCTACTTCCCCATCCTATAATATAAGAGATTTTAGGTGGATATAATACATCCTAATACAATGAATTTGAACAGATGATAGATCTACTCAAAATCCTCTATATTATGGACAGATGGAGTATTTCAGTTTGCTACAACAATAGCATAGAAAATTATCATAAAAATGTAATTTTTACGTGATATGCTGCTACATATCACGTAAAAATTGTAGTTTTATGATAATTTCAGCAAAATGAAATGGATTAATGTTGGTTTTCTTAAATTTATTTTTTCCTTTTTTTTCTTTTAGAGAAATTGGCAGGCAGCCTGAACATGGGCCGAAATCCAGGCCCACAATATCTATGGACCGGCCCACCTAGCAATACTTGGGCCCGCCCCGAGCCGTCCACGTGTACAAACCTCGGAAGCGCCAAATGGGCCCAACTACACCGGTGGGGCCCATGCTGGCTTGGACAAGTCCAACCCGCAACTCCTTCGCCTTTTCCCCTTTCCACGTCAGCGACGCGCATCCATCCTCTTCCGAGAATGCAGTTCCTTCTCGTCTCGTCTACGGCGACTTGTCCACTCCACTCTCTCCTCCCCTTCAGCTGATCAGCTCGCCACGTCACCGTCACCGCCTCGCCTCGCTTGCTTGTCGTGGTGCAGCATCCAACCTAGTAGTAGTGGTAGTAGGCTAGGCTATATCCGCCTCGGCCACCGCCGGGTTCGCCTCCAGTGCTCGCCGCCTCCGCCGCCGCCGGTGTCCATGGCCGTGGCCCTTGCCGGCGCGAGATCCCCAGGAGCGGGCGCGATCCTCAGCCTCCGCCGCCTCGCCCCCGCCGCCGCGGCGCCCGTACGTCTGGGCGGAAGCGGAACCCCAGGCACCCGGCGCCGCCGCGGCATCGCCATGGCGGCAGCTGCGTCCGCCCCGCCCGCGCCCGCCGATGCCCTCCCCAAGGTAACGCACGCACCGCCGCGCGCCCCACGCCGCCACCGGCAGGCCGTGTATATCTGTGATCGAGTTAGTAGTACGATCGAGGTTGGTGCATTTCTAGCGTTTGCTTTTGCTCGAGCTGTCCCCGTAGAGCGTGTGGCGGTGGTGCGGTTTGCCTAGAACTGCAAGGGGTTTCTGTTTGGAGGTTGGATTGGATGCATTCTCTGCTGCTGTATGGGGACGCTGGTGTGGGGGCGCCGCTGTGTAGGTTGACATGTTTTGGCTGGTGCTCTGAAGTCTCAGACTCTGAATTAGCGCAACCTCGCATGCATTGTTGCTACTGATTTGTTACTAATATATTTACTATAATATTATTGTTATGTCTTGTACCTTAATCCTTAAGTCAACATCATGGGAAAGTGTTGATTAGAGGCCCTCGGTCCTGGAGTTATTGAAAGAAAGAGATTTTTGAGCCACTATTCTAGAATTTAGGACAGACCATTATACAGCTTTTTTTTTCTTTAATAAGGTTTGTTTAATTAGAACGTGCTTGTTCTTTTGATGTTGTTACAGATGGAGGATCCTTGTAGTGTGCTAAAAATCTGAACTGTCCTTGTCAGCTACATTGTTAGTATTGTTCTGCAGGCATGGTTTGTTCATATTAATGTTTTACATGATGTTTAAAATGGATATTAGGCCTGGCATGCAAAATTTTGATGGTAATTATGTTAAATCGAATGCCAATGATCAACCATTTCTTTTTCCCATATGTAGTAGTATTAGATATTATATGCTTGGATTATACTTTGCCGTGTTCTTCTTTCTTTTCTGTATGATTACTGAATGTTCACAGTTCCAATTTCCAAGGGAATGAGGTGGGCTAATGTCTTAAATTTTATTCCGTTTCAGGGTGCTGATTCATTTTTCCGGACAGTTATCTCAAACATGGAGAAAGTATATCTGAGCAGAAATCCAACTGCCAAAACCATCCTGGAACTTGTTCGTTCTTATGATGGGGACCACATTTGCTATGATCATTTTGCTTTCAGAACATTTGGAGTGAGTATTAGATTTACATTCAGCTTAAATTGTTGATTCATCATGTGTTATTACTTAAGATGAAACTGTGCAGTGTTGATCTGCAAAAACATGTGATATTTTATCTTTGATAAATGCAGGTTGATGGTTATGGTATAAAATCACTTGCTGAATTTTTTACTGACTTTGGTTATGTCCCTCGTGAAGAACTAAGGTTTCCAGCAAAAAAGTTAAGAGCACTATGGTTTTCTCCTCCCACCAATGATGGATACACTGGAACTGGTGTTTATGGGCCTTTGCCAAGGATATTCATTTCAGAACTACTTGTGGATGAGTTGAGTCCTCAGAGCCAGGTACCACTATAAACTATTGTGCATGAGTGCATCTGGGATTGTCATTGAACTTTATGTTGTTTCTGTCAGACTATAAGTCTGGTGGCTTCAATACAGATTTCTATAGTGCAAATACTATAGCCACATAATCTAGTTTGGAAACCAGGTCTTAAATTTGAACAGTCCATGCATCAGATAGAGTATATGGATGCTGGATTTCTGGTCTCTGATATTGGTTGCCACTAGAGTCGCTTATTTCCACCTTTGCTCATTCGAAGATATCTTCTGTTCTCAAACCCATTTATGTGGTTGTTTTTCTGCGCAGGACATCATTCAAAAATACATTAGAACTTCTGGTAAAGGAAATAAACATGCAACTCTTGCAAGTACATCAGGGGAGCTGACATGGGAGAAGCCCATTTATTCTGATTTCCAAGTTTTATCTAGGTACTTGTTATAGTACCTTGAGTTTTTTTACTGAACTTTACACCGTTTAACAAATAACCGTTTATTAATCCAGTAATACTTTAAATTGCCTTTTTGTGCTCATCCTGAGTGGCATCCCTGAGTATGCTATTTGCAGTTCTGTACTCCTGTTTCTTTGTTCAAATAACATTTGCTCTTTCTTTTCTTTTGGACACCAGGGAAAGTGAATATGCTGCATGGACTCTTGTTAATGGCTATGCACTAAATCATACCACAATTTCCACTCATCGCTTGATATCAGATATTAGAAGTATCAATAAGTTCAACAAATTTGTGGAGGACAATGGGTTCAAGTTAAATTCAGAAGGAGGGATTTTGAAAGGTCTGTTCCTAAGTTCTGATCACTCAGATTGTATTCAATAAGTAGTGGCTCCCTCTATATGCATAGTATAACGCTCTCAATGAATTACCTCCTCTTATACCCAGCTGGTTCTACTGGAAAAATCCAATTACATTTTATTAGGAGAACTACACCTAATTGCACATTTTACAGACTTTGCTTTTAGAAACTATGTAGCTTGTTGATAGTAGTCAGGATGATTAATTGTTAGCTTTGGTTCAAAATTTCCTTTTATGTACATAGTATCAAGCATATTTGTTTTCCTTGCTGTTATTCCACATTTGCAGAGAAGTTATTTTGCATACTTGTTTTTCTCATTTCTTCTACCTTTTAACAGTGAGTCCTGATGGTCTCCTCCAGCAAAGCTCAACTGTAGCTGATTCAGCGTTGTTTACTTTTGCTGATGGAATCACTGAATCCATTCCACGTTCCTATATTGAATTTGCTGAACGCCTGGTACTCCCACAGTTCAAAGATTTGCCAAATGATGAGGTGTGCATATTTTATTCTTACTGTATTTATTTTGCTTAGCATGAGTGGGGTTTCGATAAACTTATCAGTTTATCTTCCTGAACCCTAAATTCCTGATCGACTAACCAAGCAACCATACTTGTTTAATAACTACTGAAGGTCAACGAACACCACAGGCGCGATGGTTTTGAGGTAGGGAATGCGGACAAAATATTTGAGAGCACATCAAATGATCAGCTTACACGGAGATCTGCATAAACGTTGAAGTCTCAACTATTCTGGAAGCGAGTCATGCCTCTTGGAAGCGTATTGAAGGAGTGTTCTCTGTGATAACTGTATCTACCTGGGTAAATTAAAACATTAGAATGAATAAACTGTTCGATGTATATCGCTCTCTTGAATAAAGAAATTACTAGTTATCTCTACAGTTCTGTTCTGTGTTGTCATCATGTCATGGGTATCTTTTGGAGCATCAGCCTTGGTTTCATGTCCTAGAATAAACATATCATGCTAGCCAATTCCAGTTCTAATGACGACATCCTACCACAAAATTGTTTACTTCCGTGGACATCCTGAACAGCAGCAGTTCAAGGCAGCCTTTTGCTACTTGGAAGTTCAGGACAGATGCGTAAGATGGTGACGGGATTCAACTTGTTCTCATTTAAGGTTAGAAGAAATGTCAAATTTACATGTGAAACTTTTAAGACTCAACTTTTAAATACCTTTTCTAGCTTAGAACTTAATTAAGATCATGATATATTGCTATGCAATTTACAGGTGTTTTCCTCAAATGCTTGTCTTTGACAGAAGGATAATTATCTGGCAGCATCAGATTTGTGACCTACTGGGAAGTATCAACGTCGCGGAGCTTCAGCCAAGGTATGATAACCTACTTCAGAATTCTAAAGAATCTCTGCATGATATTAATTAAAAGAGGTTGGTTTCCACTGAAAATAATTTCCGACCTGTTGCGCATATGCGTGCTATAAATATATTTATATGATTAGCTACATATAGGAATACAATCAGCATCTAACATTAAATTAACTATCTGTGCCGACTCTCTTGATGCAACTACAATTGTACCAGAAGGAGAAAAAAAGGATAAATAAACAGATAGAGGCACCAAAAGACTCATATCTTGACCCTTGATGCAAATGAAAGGGTCTGAGAGAACCAAAACCAAAAGTAGCTGCCTCAACACCTCCCGTTGCATTTATCCATATGTCCTTGAAAACATTAAAAGCCCCATATATCCTTGAGATCCTAAAGGCCTCCCTGCTTTATTGGGTGAATTTTCTGCATGAAGAAACACTTCTTTGTTCCAATTCAACAAAGTTGTGTCCGCGTGCAGAGATGTACCACGATTCCAGCACTGTCTGAACCTGAATGTGAAGAAAAGAACAATATACATAAAGAAAATCCGGAAGAGACCCTACTTAAGCCTAAATGAGACAACTTTGGCTAGGATTATATCGTACCATTTGCTGTTTCGCCACTATAATAAACTTTAGTTCCTCTAATTCAGATCGGTGTCGTTGAAGTTTTCTAGCTTACCGGGTCAGGGCTTTTGCCCCAATCTGTTTTCGACAGCATACTGTCGTTGTAAGCTCTTTAATTGTAATGTACCCTTCCTTTCTTAATGAAATTGGTCGATCGAACCTTTCGGCTGACCCGGCAAAAAAAAAAAAAAATCAGATCGGTGGTCCATTAGCTTTTCTAATCTTCACACGGGTGATCTGTCAGGTTGAGGACTCTGCGTTAGAAATATAACCGTCATTGTACTGAATTGATATTCTTTCTAGGGTTGCAGAATATTTTGCATCAATGGTCGGTTAGGTTACTGGGTAATACTATATTTTTAAGAGGAGAATTCGCTGTTACGATAGACTAACAACATGTCTTACGTACTAACCCATCTACTGGAAAAGGCTGGTCGGCTGAAGTTTATCTGCTCTACATTTTAGGAGTAAATTTCAGAAAAAGCACAACTATTATGTTAAAATTGTCACTTTGCTTTAACTTTAGCTGGGAATTTCATAGAACTACAACAATAGCAAATGATTTTATTAGAAAACTACAGATAGGCCGGGTCCACCCTTCAGACACTGTTGCAAATTGGTTCGACATGTCAAACACACGCATAGGATAAAAGTTGTAGTTCTCTGGTAAACTAATTCTTTGTGAAATTTCTTTAGAGAAACTCTTGCATTATTTCGTATGAGCATCCTGTATTCCTGTCACAATCCATTCATGAACTTTTACCGCTACTTACACATCGGCAGTTCGGCACTCATGACTAGTTCGGTAGTTCCCGATACATATAATGGCCACAGCCCACAGGTATGAGGCAGCCAGCCACTGTCCAAATCCAACAGTGATCTCATATCCACTATTGATTTATGAGATCTAAACGTGACATGTACATCTGCAAACCAAGCTTTTCATCATGCATGTTAGGTGTCAAGCAAACGATTTTGCTGACCTCTGTGCGCATAACACGGTTGCAAGCTGAGGTTTGTCGCATCTACCTAACCAACTATACATAACAATTTGATCATTGTCTCCCTTACGCTTTAGCGAGACTTCCACGTTACTGCTCTAATGTACGGTTCATGGTTTCGTAGAAAGTGTTAGCTTTGCTAGGTAGTACCACGGTTGATCAGTCGATGAACTTGGCAATCTAGATTCTATTCTTTCTTAGCTCAGTCGATGGACCACCGATTTTGAAGCAAATTATTGAGCAGATTGTTACCATCGGATTATGTACTTGATTATTAGGATAAATTAAATATTTTGATAAATGAAATTAAAAAATAACTTAAAACAAGTGGTTCAAGCAATGATGTAAAAGAAAGTTTTTTTTTTTCAGAGAATGTATCGGAGAGTGGAACAAATAATAATCTGAAAGAACTCACTCTTATCAGCTTATAAATTTATACTCACTCCGCCCTAAAAATAGAGCAACCTTGTACTTCATTAGATATATGTCCAAATTCATACTACTATATAGTGTAATTCAGTATTGGTTGCTATATTTTAGGACAGAGGGTCTCTGGTGGGGATTGGCTAGTATCATAGTTGATTGGTAGTATTATGGGTATTATTCACACTGAATTTTTATAGTATTTAGAAACAAATGAAAGTCTTGAAACCATCGTTTCCGAGATAGAAAAAACACACGAACTCAAGACATAAGAAGAAGAAGAAAACAATATGGCGCCATAAATATAGCTACTCCCAAACATAATGTAAGACCTCATAACACAAATTCCTCAAGAATAGCTAATTTCATGATAATTTCAAAGGAATTTATAGGGATCAATTATTTTCTTCCAAAAAGTTTCATAGGAATTTTTTTTCCCATATGATTCAAATCCTTTAGAATTCTTGTACTCTTTCCCACAGATGGCCAAAGTTCAAAATTTTCTTTTTGTTAATACCGCGTGTGGTGGGAATAAGTGTTATCCACCCATGCCCGCTGTAGGCGACTCTAGCTTTTTGGACCTTTTGGTTTTGTATAGAAATACAGAATCGTGTTGGCCCACTGATTCCACAATGCCATCACCATCTGCACGCAGTAGGCTAAAAAGGAATTAAAAGGCAGGAGAGAAGAGAGGGTCCCTGCTTTTGCTGTGTGTTATCTATTGCTCTGGTGAACACGTATGAAACGCCTAGATTCTCATCTCCCTCTTTAACCTCCTCTACTACTACTACTAGTGTAGTCCCACGGTTTGTCTAACGAAAAAGATCAGCGTGTTGGATAAGAGAAGATTATGCCATTGCTTTAGAATCGCAGCGTGTTGTTCCTAAGTGGCTACTATCTTTACGGTAAAAATTCATACTCCTCTTTGTTTCATACTGTAAGATGTTTTAGTTTCGTTCTAAGTCAAACTTCTCTAGCTTTGATTAAATTTTTAGAAAAATATACCTAATATTAAATTAATTGATCTGCGTTTTGAAGACACCCTCTACCCGAAGATGGCGAGAGAGCGAGAGCCTAGGGAGCTCGTCAACCTGAGCGCCGGCGGGGCAACCGTCACCGGCGCCCACAGCCCTGTGCCTCTGGTCACTCCGACCAGGGCGGCCACCGCACAACCGCGCTCACCTCCCCCAGTCACGCCTTCGCCCCAAGCAAGTCAGGCCTCGCCACTGCTATCCGAGCCCCTTGACTGGGGAACGGATGCCGAGGAGGAGGACGACGACGCCATTGCTCCGGAGCTACACCAACGGTCAGCGGAGACATTCAATCCGCAGACCGCCAAAGCACGCAAAGCAGCTTCTCCATCTCCAGCGTCCAAGGCTTTCCATCAGGAAATCAATGCTCGAAGCCAGGAAGAGGAGCTCGACATTACTGCAGAGAGAGGAGAGGGACTGTCACACCCTGAAGTTCTCCTCCTAAGCCTAAAATTGAATTTATAAATCACCCTAAGAAAATGCCGGTGCAAATCAAGAGAAAACCTTAATAAATTAATGCAAATAATAATCGGAATTGGCATGTGGAATTTTTCTTGAGTTCTACATGTCGAAATACGCTAACATGATTTTTAGTGGAATTTTCAGAGCTCTCGAAATAATTTTAACCAATTAAAATTGAGCACATGCAATTTTAAATCCCAGGGAAAATCTTTTCCTCCTTTTCTTTTTCTTTTCCCTCCTTTTCCTCTTCTTGGGCCGTCGGCCCAGTCCACCCCGCCGCCGCGCGCGCCCTCCTCCTTGTGGGCCGGCCCAAGCCGCCCCTCCCTCTCTCCTCAGGACGCCGATAGGTGGGCCCCACCTGTCGGGGTCGTCCCCTTCCTCCGGCCGCCCGCCCCACGTCGCCACCACCGCCGAAACCGCCCCCGCGCCAACGTCCCCGCCTCCTCCGGGCCACGTCGGCCACACCCGCGCATGCGCCGCGCCTCCCGCACCCACTCCTCCTCTATCCCGCTCGCGCCCACGCCCGAGATGGCCGCGATTCGAATTCCGAATCCCGCCTCTCTCTCCACCTCCACCTCCCCGCGTTGGCCGGCAGAATCCCGCCCCTACCGGCCACGTCCAGGATTCCCCTCCCCTATTTAAGCTCCACCGCCACTCCCTCTCTCTTTTTCCCCATCTCGCCGAACTCCCTCGTGCTCCCCATCGCTCCCGCGCTGTGCTTCCACCCGCCACCGCCGCTTCCGCTACTCCGGCCACCGCTAGCCGCCACTAGGCTCGCCGCCGCACCACGCCGTCGCCGCCGCCGGGTTTGCGTGGCCAAGGGTTTTATGATATTTGTAAGACGTGGATCTGAATGTCAACATTGTCGTTTGTGTACCCCGGCCGGTCCTGGACGGGGATTTTAATGTACATTCTGCTTGGAATTCTATTCGGGAATTTCTAGGCGTGACAAGTTGGTATCAGAGCCAGGTTGACCGTAGGACAAGCCAAATGGAAAAACCTAAGAGC